CCGCTGAAAACTTCACAGCAGGGAAAAAGAGAAAGGAAAAAATAATTTCCCTATTTTTTCATAAGATTCAATCAGAAGTACAGCACATAAATACAGTTTCTCATATTTTATCTTACAATTTTCTTGATTTCATTTTACTTTGTTCATTGTACTTTTGGGGTTGGTTTTTTTTTAATAAAAAGTGATATGCACACATGGTATTATCTTGTATACAAACTTTTAATTACTACACTAAAAACCACCACTGAAGTAGTGTGGAAAAATAATAGAATGCATTGTCACCAATATGTCTAGCATAGCAAATATTGATGGATATTGAACCTGAAAATACCTGTGAAGCATCCTACAACACTTTTCCATGTGACTTGAATCCTCACACCTGATGCTGGAGACAGGCTAGCTCCAGTGGGGTAAGGAAGATCTTCTCCACGAAGAAAAGGAGATGAAGTGGGGAAAGGGAATGTGCATGGCACTACCAGATTCAACGTCAGGGCTCTCCAGGTTCATTCCAATAACGCACCATTTTTCCACACCTCACAAGGTACAGCTGGGCTATCAACACAAAAATGCTTCTGTACATGCAAAATAATTTGCTTTGCACGGGCATTATCTACATAAAGCTAACAAAATTTAAGTGTTTTATTGTGGATTTCTTTAAAACATACACATGGATTACCACAGTATGACCTTGAATGATTTCCCTTGCTTTGCTGAAGTTTGAAATTGCTTTACTTCTTCCCATTCATTCTTGTCTTGCCATTTAATTCAGAATCAGTACTAGTAAGATAAAAGCATTCCTTGATCATCTTTTTTGGTCTGACATTATTTTAATAACATGGTTTCAGTCCTGGAAGTTCTCATCCTCCCCCAAGACATGCTTTTTTTTTTTTTTTTCCTGACACACAAATGTAAAACAGAAACATCTGAAGTGTTTGATATTGCAATATCAGAGTGGAAATCTCATGATAAACATCTTATGTTATATACTACCAGTGATATTATCCATTATATACAATAATGGTACTAATACAAAAAGTGTCAAGGTAACAACCTTCTACCAAAAAAAAAAAAAAAAAAAGAGCCACACCATTCCAGATGTTTTCTCTTTTATAACAGGAGAAGTAACATGATCTAAATTCACATCCAAATGAAAGCCCTCCTCGTGAATTCTTTTTGGGTCTATTAGTCCATTTCAGCACTCTGAAATATTACCGAGATCTGCTCTGAATTTACATGCTACTTTTCCGTTCCCCTTTCTTATACCTAGAATTAAGTTCTTTTTTTCTGTACTACTGGTTTGGTTCAGCTTTTCACTCTCATCTGAGTAATGTCAGTTGAATTTAATCGCCTCCCCAGCAGCCTGTAACTGGTCATTCAATAACACTGAAGCCAGGAAAAGACAAGATTGCAAATCTGCTGCAAAAGCATTCTGTACATCAATCCTCCTTAATTATGACGGTTCTGTTTTCATGGATTTTTAAATTGAAAGTTACTTTCTTTTACAACAGGTTTTATATTTTTGAGAATAACATAATTTTCAACTCAACTGAAAAAAACCCCAACAACCTACTTTGAGGGGGGGAAAAAAAAAAATAGAAAAAAAAATAGCCCTGGAAGAGTACTTGTTTCAAGGTCACTATCTAAACATAATCAGCACCTAAGTTTTACTCCGGAGATAGGAATATTGTGGGCTTAGGAAAGAACACATGACAACTGATGACAAATGGTACTCTTGAAAAGTTTTCCATGGTGTTTTGGAACGAATAGTTACAGAATTTAATAAAAGGAAAGAAAAAAAACAAAAACAAGACACCATTCATGAACTCTGGTATATCCTCTATATGCTGTATCTGTGGGTCCTCGCAAATAATTCTCTCTACAAAGCTGGCACATGACATCAAATGTGAGCTATATTTCTAGTTGACTTTTTTACATTTGTACGTATCACAAAAAGATTCATTTACTTAAATCTCACAACTCAATACATCATGCTGAATAACAATTTGGTGACACATTTGCTATTCGCGTTGCCATATCTAAAGAAGAGATGGCCAGATCGAGACAGTAGTAAAAGCTGCGAGACATGATAAGAATTTAGTGTCTAATCAGATTTGTGAAAATAAAAGTGTTGCTTTTTAAACTGGATCATCAATAAAGTGTTTTGTTAGGAAGAATCTTAGTATACTAAGTAAAACATTGAATTTAAATGAGTTTCCATTATTTCAATTTCTCTATAAGTATTTCAAACCTGCTAATATTTCAAGGTTCACAGAATTCTAATTTATGATAAAATTAAATCATACTAAATCTAGAAGTGCAGAAAATGGTCATAAGCTTTGTGAATGGATTGGAATGGGAACAAAATCATATTGTTAGAGCAATTTTTAGAAATTAAGCCTCCTCCATGCTACTTAGAGATGTACTAAAAATGACAAAATACATTTAATATCACAAGAAAAGTGAGAGGTACGGTTTGTTGTGATTTTTGGTTTATTGTTTAAATGCAATGATATAAATTGTGATAGCATCTCAGTATTAAAAAGATAATCACCTTTTGGAGGTGAACTACTGTTTTGTAACACAACAGCTGAACTGTATCAGGGAAATGCTTCAATGGTACTTTAAATAAATACAGTGTTCTATGCATCATGAGTTCCCTCTAATATTGCTAGGCATAAATGGATAAAAGCTCATACCAAGACATGTCTTGTTTTATGCTAGTATCCTGCAAATCTGCAACCGTATCAGAGAGTGAATTTCTCTTGAAGTATAGATTCTTGTTACTTCCTCTTCAGGACGAATACCTAGCAGGTTATTGATCTGCTTCTGAAGGACATAGTGTTTATTATGTAGGAAACCACCGCTGGGCACAAGCGTGAGAAATTAATGATGGTTTTGTAAGTGTCCACACTGTGGTGCTGAACCAGTGGGGCAACTGTCAATCTATATGATAATGCATCCCCAAACTTCATAAAATCAGTGATGTGAAGAAGCATTGATTTTTGAGCTAACCAGGATTTGTGAGAGAGTAAGACTAAAAAGTTTACTGAAGTTAACACCTCTGTGTATATAATAGTTGCTTCACACTTGCATTGTTTGGGTTTTTTCTTAAACAACCAAACACACAGAAACCTTTATCACAACAACTTTTCCAAGTAAAAATGAATTCCACATACTGGTTTGTTTCTTGAGGGCTGGTTGATCACGTCCTTCCTTCTCTTATTAACATCATTGTTAGAAAAATTGCCTATTCAAAACCGATTCACTGTACTGTATTTCCAATAACTTAATGATTCACTTATTATAAGGAGGAAAATGAAATGCAAGCAAACAGACGCATTCTGTTATCAATGTCTGCGACGGTATGTATAAAAGTAGGGCCTGTGATTAAATTTTCTCAGACAAAAGGTGTGGCACAGTGCTTCCACTGAAAGGGAGACAAACACCTTCAGAGAAGTGAATTCATGCTACAGAAATGAATCCCAATCTTTCCATAATGCCAGAATTTCATTAGTCAAGTTTTTAATTTTAAATTATGCACAGTAACCTAATCAAAACTATACTAAAGTCAATGGAAGTTGTCGTATTTTCTGTGAATGGTATTATTGGGGGAAAAAAAAGAAAAGGAAAAATCAATTAATCAGTCACTGATTCTTTTTAAAATGCTGACTTCCTTGTATGCACTATTAGTTTCCTCTTTGGTTTTGATGAAGAAATTTATCCTGCTATGACTATGAAGAGGAAATATTACTTCAAGATGCAATTTAAATCAACAAAAAAAGAGTGCTGTTACAAACAAAAATCAATTGCACTTTTTTGAACTTTTTTCTATCAATATAAAAACTGTAATGCAGTTTTGCCTTGTTTGCTTTGACAAGCAGTTGCTTGTGTTTCTGGTGCCTGGCACAGTGGCTTTGCTGAAACTGAGACAACTGTCAGCAAGCGTGGGGAGGAGCCAAAAATAAACAACTGAAAAAAATCCTCCTGAGAGGCACCCAACGCGTAACAAATTAAATTTTATCACAAGTAATATGTGTAGCAGAGAGCTGGTTTCATTACCTGGTACCAGCTGCCCAACTAGTTGCTCTGAGGGTATAATGTTAGGGAGATTCCTCTTCACCTTCTCAGAACGGCAAGCATCAAACCCTTTAGCTCAGATTTCAACTAAGCTGAGTTTGCGCCTTCATCACCCTACAGGATGGAGGGGAAATTCCTGCAAATCCATTTTTACTATTTTTCCTTTTTAGTTTAATTTAAAAATATGTGAGCACAGAAAATTCCCCAGGTAAAAATTTGTAGCTGATATGTATGAACAACATGAGTCCAGGTTATATGCATTTGAAAGGACAGCTGGGTTAATGAAGTTTACTCTGAGAATCAACTGATGTCTAGGTGTTTTGTCCCGAATGACTGTCTAAAGTCTCATTTCTATGAACTTAATAAACTATATTAACCAGAAGTGCTTTGCCTCAGTTTGGTGCACAGGTCTGCTTTCTGAAAGCCCCCCGATACTTACCAATAAGCAAACAGCAAATTATTATTTATTTTTTTTACAATTTCAAAAACATGAAAACACACACAAGATTAAATCTGATTGTTAGAAATTAGCACTATTGTTACAGCTTCTAGCATATTGTAGATTATTAATATTACGTCAAGCTATGTATAAAAATCACATATGAGAAACTATTTCTCTTAAGAAATTTCTTTCTACTTCTCATCATTCAGTTTAATGCAATGTACCCTGAGCACAAGCTTCTGCGAAAGATTATTGCATAGAAAGTAAATTGTAAGATAAAACACAATATAAATTACATAATATACATACAATAGAGTTTCCTGATATTGATGTTAAAAACCCCCAAACACTAAAAAGCAGCTTTAGTCAAACTGAGAAAGAAAAGCAAAAAATTCACCTTTCAAAGAATACTCATGTATTTTTAAATATGATCACGTTCTCATACATGTGCATTAAGAATATACTGAACAAAAAGGCCTACCATTTTCCTCATCTGACTTATTTTCATTGTCGGAGTCGGTAAGCGTGAGCGCTGAGTTTTCACGACTTGACAGACCGGAACTTCGCCTGGATTTGATCCCTCTTCCCCACAGCCTGATGGCATGCTCCGGAGACATTCCTCCCTCCGTGTCTGAGTCAGCATCAGAGCCGGTGCTCAAGGAATAGCCTTGATGGAGTATTCCTATGTCTGAGCAGTAGCCACTTCGATGGGGAGAAGGCTCACAGATTCCTAGTTCTGCCAGGGTGAAGTTTGTTCCTAGAAGGGCAATTAATAAAAAAATAATTAAAAATTAACAGCTAGGGGATTTAATTTAAGTTTGAAAATAACAGACCTATTTCATTTCTCTTAACTCTGCTGTATGCCAAGCCTTTGTAACAAATTACACACACAGCTCCCTGGTGCATAGTTCTAGCGAGATTTAACTAAACCATACCAAATATAGTTAAAACGGATGAAATACACAAAACAAAGGTAGGAAAAGTCTCTAAATTTTAGGTTACTGGTCCTCCCCTAAATAATTAATCATTTAGGTATGTGATTAACATAAAGCTCATGACAAGTGCTAAGGGCATGACCTGCTTTATTATGTATCTAACTTTTATTTGTTGGACCAGAGCATGAGCTTGGAAGTTGAGCATTTGGTTACTCAAAAAGAGGAATTTTTTTGTTATGAAGCTAATTTTGTCATACACGAGTCTTCCACAGAGATAGCATTTTTCATTCTAATTTTCATATAGTTTCCTATTTCATAGAAAATAAACACTTATTTGGGAAAACGTAGTTTACAGATCAGGATCACCTGAAAGAATGCAAATCTATCAGCGATGTTGTCACCAGTTTTGCACTTTTACATTTGGTGAGGTTGGTAGTTTGATACCTGCTATGGAAATCAAGACAGATCTCATAATCATCATAATTGTTTTCTACCTTTTTTCACCGTACTCAAGAACAAAGTGTGCATCGACACCAAAATCAGGAAGTTACTGGTTTGAAAGGCAAAACTTTCAGGAACAATGTCAAAACATGTGACCTTTAGTAGTTAATAACGACTCAGTGGACAAAGTCTCATACATTGTTAAAGCACACGGAGTTCCCCAGGGTTCTCAGAAAGTATAGACTTGCTGGCTGATTTCTGCTTATGTATTTGTTTCCTACAGTAATGAACAGGATGGTAAAAAAATATCGGAAAATATTCATTGGTCTCTAAGGCTTTCAAAGCTTTTGAAAAGCAAAGTGATTTTAGCTTTGTTACACTGGGCTAGAAATGAAGAACAAAGACAGACTGAAGTCACTGGCAGTATAACTGCCAATTATTTAATTAATTTCTGAATTTGCCGGGAAACTAGATCTGCAGTCTGTGTTTCTAAAATGGTAGTTTTATTTTGTCCAAAAGCAATTTATATTTTCTCCTCTTTATATATTTATCAGAATGAAGCTATACAGTGGAAGTTCATATACTAAACAAAAAAACTTGCTTAAGTGTCTTCTATTACTAAAGATGTTATCAGGATTATTTTTTTTCCCCCTAAAATATTACAGTTTTTCACAGATTACCCAGGAAAGATCATCCAGTATTAATTCTATCTGTTTCATCTATCTGTATCAGCCCTCTCCAGTCCCACACCTAGCAGTTAAAGTCTTTTTTGGATCTGGGATGTATGCACACATCTACAGAAAGTAAACTGGGCCCTGCTTAACATATATTCCTAGAGCTCATCAATTAAATGGTGACTGATTTCTTCTGGAAGACTGAGCTAGGTCTTCATCTAGCAACAGCTAGGCAGCAGCACTGAGCACGGCGAGAGAGACGAGACATGCTCTCTTTCACCCCAAGGTTAACCAGTAAACAGGCCAGCAGCAAGAGAGTGGCCAACATCGTCAGGTAAAGGAGTATCGCTGACTGGATGCTTCTAAAGAGATGAAGCATTTAGAGGCAATGTTTAAAAAGACTATAAAAAGGCTGACATTAAAAAAAGTCAGCTCTCCTTCATCAACACCAAATTAACCCAAACCCTCCTAGTTAGGACTATATTTTAATGTGCCTTTCAATATTTATTCTAGCAATCAGAAATTTTGTGCTTTAGTCAAAGGCAATGAACTGAACAGTCCTAAAAATGAGCTTCTCAAGTGCACTTCAGTCTAGAGATTTTTTGCCTTTTTTTTAAATGAGAGCTCTAGCATGGCACTTAAATGAAACAAAGTTACTTTTAAAGAAAATGTAAATTTTAATCATGTGCAATTTCAGTAGAAGACATTTAACAAAAATAGCTCGATTGATTAGAGTTTTGTTTTAGCCATATTAGCAAACTAACCTTAGACACATAAAATGTCAAAATGAACCTAAAATATAAAATGAATTTTAAAATAAAGTGAGTGAACAGCAGCCTACAAGCCCCACACTTTCTGACCTACACAGGTACAGTGCATGTTGACATTAGTTACATGTTAAAATCACCAAACTCATCATGAAAGTGATGTTTTTAAGTTTTCTTGTTTGCTGGTGGCATAAATGTCTACAAATACACACCAATTATGAATGTATTAGCTTAATTAAGCTGTTTTACATACACGGTAAAACATTTTAATGATATTCTGTGGATTTTAACAGCCATTACAAGCCCAGATGATTTGACTCTGATTAGCATCCTGTATTGACGTCAAAATCTGACTATAACATCTGATGCAAAGAGCAATCTTCAGAGAAATTCTTACTTCATTTTTCTGAGGAAAATGGTAAAGGCACTGAAAGTGGAAGGAAAATATAGTATCCACAGAATGCATTCATCCATTTGAGTTTTGTTATCTGGGAACTTGGCATCTTCCAGAAACATGGAAAAAAAAGATTTGAAAACTGACCAAATTTAAAAAAAATTGAGAAGTGGATCAGATCAACTCAAGAACACAAATGGAATCAGCCTCTGAGCCTCTGGGAAAGGATTTTCAATACTGCTTTTCAGAAATCCCCTTACAGTCTTGCAACAGAAAAACTCAAACATCCTGATGATAGACATAAAATATTCTAGAGATTTCCCTCTTGAGCAAAAACATTTGTTTTTCTCTGGTAGACTCTAAATTAGCGTTATTTATTAATTTTCAGTGTTTGCTCTTGCAAAATATTATTTGAGATTGTTCTGTAAGAGAGCATACAACAGCAGAGTAACTGGTCCTTGGATACCCAAGGATAATAGCATAAGAACATATTTTGGAGATGTTTTTCACATCTGTATACACACATATGTGAAAGCATTTTTCATACATATATATCTAAATATATAAAAATGTATCTACATATACTATACTTCCTGATATCTTCATAGCCCTTAATTTACTGTAAAATCTGAGGAAAAGGGGATAGAAACATTATAGTTATGTTCTCTAGACCTCTTCTTGATCTATATCTTATTCTCCTACATGCCTTGTTTCCCTAAAATGAAACGGTCCACATCTCTTGAATACCATATGAACTGCTTTCACTACTACAATATTCTCTTATTTGCTCAGCCAGTACTGTGCATTAAGGTATTAATGGCATTAGTAGACCACCCTTGTAAACTCATATAGAGGATAAATATGGTTCTGGATGCACAGAAATCATTTATCCAATAATTCATAGCCAAAAGAACCCTACTATTACCATAGTCTCACGAACAATGAGAAAATACCTAACTTATTTGATATCCACTCATACTGGAAGAATACTCTGCACGGGATCCCAACGACAGAAAGGTCACCAAGAACAACGCAGCCTTCCTCGCCCCCACTGCCAGAAACTACAGCACCTATGAGCTGGAGCAAGGAAACACGGACACAGACTGGCCTGGGGTTAAGACTTAGTGTCTCCTTCAAGAAGTATCTTCCTTACAGCTTTTTAAGTGATTAGAGCAAGCAAATGAAGACCTCCTAGAAGAAAAGCAAAGGAGGGCAGCAGTACCTGTTGCTTGCCATACCCTGGGAATTCAAATCGTACCGCTCTGTCTTCACAGAGAGAAGTCGGGTCCATGAGCTAAAATGTGCTTCTCACACTAGTGGTCAAGGCAGATGGATGGCTTCTTACAGTGTTACACAGCATACTCTACCTCCAGGGCTCTCTAGGAGTTGAGAGTAACTGCATTTTACTGAAACTTCACTTGCAAAGTAGGACTGAAATGTGCAGGCAGAATCCATTCTTGCACATTCAAAACTTAAGGGTGTTTTCTTTCAGGTTCTTGTGGCATCTACTACATCACTGGTGACACTAAGTGAAAAGAGATAAATAACCTCTTTCTCTCAAAGAACACAACACACACACACACAAAAGAGTCACAAGGTTTTTTACTTTTTCATATGCAACAGAGCTCACTAGCCTCCATCCCTAGTCCCTTCATCCCCACCTGCAGAAATCAGTAGACCATTTTCATTAAAGAAAAGCAGTTAATACCAGCTGCTCCCTTAAGTTGTATGTAATCTCTCATACAAAAATAGACTAGTAGCATACTAGCTTAGAAGTGTAATATAAAGTTATGTACTGGATCATCACTGCCCATCATCTACATGCTGTGATTAGTCTCTCAATAGAGTAGAAGAGATGTTTTCCTTTTAATTAATACATTACTACTTCTATCTTTTGAGCATATTTCATTTTACAGAAACTTAATACTTAAGTCATTTAGTATATAAATGCTTACTAAAAGTGTGTTTAATTCAATGATGTACAACTCTACTCATTATCTCAGCTAAGACTAGAAAGCATCACTGTATAAGCAAAGGTTATTTTCACCTAACCTCTAGGCAGAGGTCTCAACTGGGTAATTACAAATTGCAGGAACTGCCCTTCTGAAGATTAATCTAATCCAGCTGTGATCACCACAAGATGCCTCAGACAAAGATATCTGAAACCAGTAATGCACAGATATGATAAATTTGCCTTCAACACGAGACCAACAGTTCAAAACAGGGCTAAGTCTAAAATCAAAAGGGTAAATATCACTTACATTCTTTGCTACTATAATCAGCTACAAGAAGTAAGGATAATAAGAATACATTTATTAAAGACACTCCATCCTTTCTCAAATTTTTGCTATGTTCATAGCTATAATGATTTTTGCTAGCATGAGTACCACAATTTAGCTCCAATCTGTGGTATATGAAGAGGTCACTGTTTTTAACAAACTCTGATGCACACTTAATTTTTCTCAATTGTTTACGCATTCATTCATTATAATGACAGGGAGAACAGATGATTACAATCTCATTTTTTTATCCACTTGTCATACAGA